CCCCTCTCCTGCTCTCTCTCTCTCATTCTCTCTCTCAAATAAATAAATAAAATCTTTTTTAAAAAAAGATATAACAATTATAAATGTATATACACCTAACACCTAAACATATTAAACAAATATTAACAGATTTGAAGGGAGAAATTGCAGCAATCCAGCAATAGTAGGGGATTTCAATACTCCACTTTCAAGAGGAAATAGATCATCCAGACAGAAAATCAGTAAGGAAACACAGGACTTGAAGTACACTTTAGATCAAGTGGAACTCACAGACATACACAGAACATTCTATCCAACAGCAACAGAATACACATTCTTCTCAAGCACCCACCGAGCACTCTTGAGGATATATCATATGCTAGGTCATACAAAAAAATCTTAACAAATTTAAGAAGATCAAAATCTTATCAAGTATCTTTTCTGACCACAATGGTATAGAACTAGAAATTAATAACAGGAAAAAAACTGGAAAACTAACAAATAATGTGGAAACTAAAAAACACACTTCTGAACAACCAATGGGTCAAAGAAGAAATCAAAAGGGAAATTGGAAAATACCTTGAAACAAATGAAAATGGAAACACGACATACCAGATTTATGGAATGCAGCAAAAGCAGTTTTAATAGGGAATTTTATAGCAATAAACACCTATATTAAGAAAAAAGAAAAACATCACGTAAACAACCTAACTTTACTTTCAAGGAACTAGAAAAAGAACAAACTGCCCAAAGTTAGCAGAAGAAAGGAAATAAATAAATAAAACAGAGACTAGCAAAATGATAGAAAAGACCAATGAAACTAAGAACTGGTTTCCTGAAAAAATTTAACAAAATTGACAAACCTTTATCTGGACTAAGAAAAAGTAGAGATGACTCAAATAAATAAAATCAGAAATGAAAGAGGAGACATTACAACTGATATTTCAAAAACACAAAGGATCATAGAAGACTACTATGAATAATTATAAGCCAACAAATTAGATAGCCTGGGAGAAATGAATAGAGTCCTAGACACACATAACCTATCAAGACTGAATCATGAAGAAATATAAAATCTGAAAAGACCAATAATAAGTTAGGAGATCGAATCACTAATCAAAAAAATCTCCCAATAAAGAAAATCCCAGGACTAGTTGGTTTCATTGGTGAACTCTATCAAACATTTAAAGAAGAATTAATACCAATCCCTCTCATAAAACTTCCAAACGCAGTTTATGAGGCCAGCATTATCCTGCTACCAAAGCCAGACGTGGACACTACAAGAAAAGGAAATTACAGGCCAATATCCCCGATGAACACAGATGCAAAAATTCTCAACAAAACACTAGCAAACCAAATTTAACAGCATTTTAAAAGTATCATACACCATGATCAAATGGAATTTATCCCTGGGATGCAAGGATGGTTCAATATACACAAATAAATAAACGTGATGCACCACATTAACAAAATGAAGGATAAAATTTATAAGATCATGGCTATAGATGCAGAAAAAACATCTGACAAAATTCAACATACTTTCATGATAAAAACTCTCAACACATTAGGTACAGAAGGAATGTAGCTCAACACAATAAAGGCCATATATGAGAAGCTCCCAGCTCACATTATGCTCAGAGGTAGAAAGTTGAAGGCTGTTCCTCTGAAAAAGTGCCCATTCTTGCCACTTTTATTCAGTATAGTTCTGGAGGGCCTAGCTAGAGCAATTAGGCAAGAAAAAGAAATAGAAAGCATCCAAAATGGAAAAGAAGCAAAACTGTCTGCCCAAGACATGATCTTATATATAGAAAACCCTAAAAACTCCACCAAAAAAACTGTTAGAACTAATCCGTAAATTCAGTAAAGTTGCAGGATATGAAAACAACATACAGAAATCAGCTGAATTTCTATACACAAGAAATGAACTATCTTAAAGAGAAATTAAGAAAACAATCCCATTTGGAAGAGCATCAGAAACAATAATATATATATATATTTTTTTTTTAATTTTTTTTAAAGATTTTATTTATTTATTTATTTGAGACAGAGAGAATGAGAGACAGAGAGCATGAGAGGGAGGAGGGTCAGAGGGAGAAGCAGACTCCCTGCCAAGCAGGGAGCCTGATGCAGGACTCGATCCCGGGACTCCAGGATCATGACCTGAGCCGAAGGCAGTCGCTTAACCAACTGAGCCACCCAGGCGCCCAACAATAATATATTTAAGGAAATATTTAACCAAGGAGGTTACCTGAGATTAACTGGAGTTAACTGAAAACTATAAGGCACTGATGAAAGAAACTGAAGACACAAATAAATGGGAAGGAATCATTTGTCCTTGGATTGGAAGAATCAATATTGTTAAAATGTCCATCCATACTGCGCAGTGATCTACACAGTCAGTGAAATCCCCACCAAAATTCCAATGGAATTTTTCACATAAATAGAAAAAAATCTTAAAATTCAGATGGAACCACAAAAGAGCCAAAGCAATCTTGATTAAAAAAAGGACAAAGCTTGAAGCATCACATACTATATTACAAAGTTATAGTAATTAAAACAGTATCGTACTGGCATAAAAATAGATATATAGATCAATGAAACTGAATAGAGGGCCTAGAAATAAATCTGAAAATATGTAGTCAACTAATTTTTTACAAGGAGGCAAAGAACACATAATGGGGAAGAACAGTCTCTTCAATAAGCAGTATTGGGAAAACTGGATATCCACATGAAAAAGAATGAAACTGGACTATATAAACCATTCATAAAAGTTTAGTCAAAATGGATTAAAGACAAACATAAAATCAGAAACTGTAAAACATATAGGCAAAAACATAGGGAAAAAACTCTTTGACATTGGTCTTGGCATTATTTTTTGAATATGACACCCAAAAGGAAAGGCAATAAAAGCAAGAATAAACAAGTAGGACCACATAAAATTAAAAAGTTCTGCACAGCAAAGGAATCAATCAACAACATGAAAAGGCAATCATGGGATATTTTCAAACTATGTTATCTGTTAAGGGGTTAATATCTAAAATATATAAGGAACTCATACAACTCAGTAGCCCCAAAAATCTGATTAAAAAATGAACAAAGGACCTGAATAGACATTTTTCCAGGGAAGACATACAAATGGCCGAAAAGTACATGAAAAAGTACTCGACATCACTAATCACCAGGGAAATGCTAATCAACACCACAGTGAGATATTACCTCACACCTGCTAGGATGGCTATTATCAAAAAGACAAGAGATGACAATTGTTGGCAAGGATGTAGAGAAAAGGAAACCTTTGTATGCTGTTGGGAATATAAGTTGGTACAGCTATTATGAAAAACAGTATGGAGATTCCTAAAAAACTAAAAATAGAACTACCATATGATCCTGCAATCCCACCTCTGGGCATATATCCAAAGGAAATGGAATCAGGGAAGATTCCCGTACCTTGATATCTGCAATCTCATGTTCACTGCAGCATTATTCACAATAGTCAAGATACGGAAACATTCTAACAACATTATGTGAATGGATAAAGAAAATGTGTGATATATATACCATATACATACACGTCTATGTACCTATACATATGTGTGTGAAATGGAATAGTAGTCAATATAAAAAAGAAGGAGGGGCGCCTGGGTGACTCAGTCGTTAAGTGTCTGTCTTCAGCTCAGGTCATGATCCCAGGGTCCTGGGATCGAGCCCCACATCAGGCTCCCTGCTCGGTGGGAGGCCTGCTTCTCCCTCTCCCTCTGTCCCTGCTTGTGTTCCCTCTCTCGCTGTGTCTCTCTCTGTCAAATAAATAAATAAAATCTTTAAAAAAAAAAAAAAGAAGGAAATCCTGCCACTTGAGACAACATGGATGAACCTGGAGGACACCATACTAAGTGGGTTAAGACAGACAAAGACAAATACTGTATTCTCACTTTTAAAAAAAGGCTGAGGGCGCCTGGGTGGCTCAATTGGTTAAGCGACTGCCTTCGGCTCAGGTCATGATCCTAGAGTCCCGCGATCGAGTCCCGCAATCGAGTCCCGCGATCGAGTCCCGCATCCGGCTCCCTGCTCGGCAGGGAGTCTGCTTCTCCCTCTGACCCTCCCCCCTCTCATGCTCTCTCTCTATCTCATTCTCTCTCTCAAATAAATAAATAAAATCTTAAAAAAAAATAAAATAAAATAAATTTTAAAAAGCTGAATGGGGCGCCTAGGAGGCTCAGTTGGTTAAGCGACTGCCTTCGGCTCAGGTCATGATCCCGGAGTCCCGGGATCGAGTCCCACATCGGGCTCCTCGCTCGGCGGGGAGTCTGCTTCTCCCTCTAACCCTACCCCTCTTGCACTCTCTCTCTCACTCTCTCTCTCAAATAAATAAAATCTTTGGGCACCTGGGTGGCTCAGTTGGTTAAGCAACTGCCTTCGGCTCAGGTCATGATCCCAGGGTCCTGGGATCCAGCCCCGCATCGGGCTCCCTGCTCGGCGGGAAGCCTGCTTCTCCCTCTCCCACTCCCCCTGCTTGTGTTCCCTCTCTCGCTGTGTCTCTCTCTGTCAAATAAATAAATAAAGTCTTTAAAAAATATATAAATAAATAAATAAATAAAATCTTTAAAAAATAATAATTAATTAATTAATTTTAAAAAGCTGAATGTATGGAGAATAGAATGGTATGGTTTCCAGGGACTGAGGTGGGAAAAATGAGGAGATGTTGGTCAAAGGACACAAACTTTCGGTTATAAGATGAGTAAGTTAGTTCTGGGGATCTAATGTAGAGTATGGTAACTATAGACAATAACACTATATTGCATATTTAAAATTTGCTAACACAGTAGGTCCAAAGCTTTCTCACTACAAAACAACAGCAGAACCTCAGTGCCTGCATTATCCAATGACGTGTATAATTACCAAGACTTAGAGGCACAACTACCGTGTATACCATCTTAAGGCCATACTTTACTGTAAGTTAGTATGTCTAAATCATTTTTTCATTCACCAACTTCAGATTCTGTGTGTTTTTCTGGTATCATTACCTGAATTGCTGGTCTAGTTTTTCAGCCACGAGATCTTGTCTCTCTTTTTCTTTCTTCTCTTTCAATAATCTGGTTTTATCTCTCATTCTATCTTTTTTCTCCTCAATTGTTTCTTCTTTCAACTGCATTTCAGTAAAATACCCACTTTCTTCTGCTGCTAAAAGTTCACGTAGCCTAAAAAAAATTACAAAAAAAGTAAAACTGTCATGCCACATGGGCCGTTTTACTAACTGGTTTTTATTTACTTTTATTTATTTAATTAGCACATGTTTATTTTTATTTTTAAAAAAGATTTTATTTATTTGAGAGAGTGTGTGCATGAGCGGGGGAGAAGCAGACTTTCTGCTGAGCAGGGAGCCAGACAGGGAGACTCAATCCCAGGACCCTTAGATTACGACCAAAGGCAGACACTTACCTGACTGAGCCACCCAAGTGCCCCCAAAGCACAGGTTTAATCATAAATTTTGCAAGGGAAAAATATCATTGCAGTCTTCTATAAAATAAGACTAGTCCTCATTTAAAGCAACAGAAACTGACTTGCCATATTTTATTTGATCTCATACAAATTAGCTAATGTACATCTTCAACAAGAGTATGAACAGATTTTAACTAAAGTAACAAAATATAAAACAATATATTCTTTTGCTTTCTATCAAATGTGGGTTATTACAAGTGAAAATACAAACAGGCAGGAGCTATTGATTGGGTAAGGATATGACTATCTCAGCTATGATCCTTACTATAAAAATTTACTTGATTTTTGGTCGATCTTACATTAGGGTTTGGGGAATGTTTTATAGTCTGAAGCACCAGTTTGTGAACCTTACTTATTTCGTCTTTCTTCAGTGTTGATGATAAAACCTTGCATGGCATCCTTGATTCTTGCTTTCACAAGACTGTCCACAAACTTGCGATCATTGTGCTGGTCCCACTCAACTTTCAAGCGATCTCTCTCCTTTGACTTAATAGAAGCCAAAATATCATGATGTTTCTGATGGCTGCGTTGGATTCTTTCCAGATGTTGCTCAGCCCCATGAACTTGGGGAGGCTTGGCTCTCTGAAAACAAATAATTATCACTTACAATCGATCCAAAACCGATTGCATATTTTCAACTAATCATGACCTCCACCAATACTAAATAAAATTGGATGTATCAAAGTAATCCTGCTACAGCTGCAAAGAGCTTAAGTGCCTAAGGTTTAACATGTTTGATTCTTTGAGCCTATACTTAAGATGTCATCAAATCAGTCTCAAATATTTCCTAAGTGCCACTTGAGTAAAAGTTCATGGAATTATAAAGTTAAAAATTTGAGCAAGACTCTAGAGATTATTTAGTCAAACTCAGAAACATTAAGTGATTTGTCAAAGTGCTTCCAATAGTCAGGGCAAACCTGTATAGAACAAGAATTAGAGATCTTCTAATTCCTGACCTTCATCTTGCCCCCCACTATCCCACATTGTTTCTCAGGGGTAGACAACATAGTTACCATCAAAATAATTTCAACTAGAAGAGGCTACTATCTCTAAGTATATAGGATATATATAATGAGTTGTGACAATAAAAAAACTCTCTACTGAGAAGGAAGGGAAGGAGGGAGGGAAGGGAAAAAAGGAAAAGAAAAAAAGGGAAAAAACTGATAGTAATGCTTTATTTCTCTTGTGCCCAGTTTAATGCAAGGGCAGTACTCCTGATATTTTGGGGTAATTTGAATTTCTACATTTTTTTAAATACAAACTTCCACTAAAAAGTTGGAAACAACCCTACTTTGAATACATATTGATATATTTAATAAAATTACATGGACAATCTTTCTCATTTCTGTATTCCTAGCATTGAAGTATAATGCCTTACCACTGTTGGTTCTCAGTGTGAAGGAAGGAAGGAAGGGAGGGAGAAAAGGAGGGAGGAAGGAAACATTTCTGGGTAGGCTTGATGCAATTTCTGCTCCTTCTGGGGCCATCATGAAATCCACTGTCTTGAGCTTTGTATTTTCAAGCCAGTTTTATCAAGTCAAACTTAGGTGAATAGTGAGACTGCAGGATGCTGATTTACAAGTAACAAAATTCTTAACTCATATGGCAGAAAGTCAATCTGATAATTTACACTTCTAACATTACACTAACATCACTGTCAGGATTATCAAAATACTAGTGTTAAGTCTTGGTAAAGGAGACTCCTAGAAAAGAAAGAAAATCAACATTTGTAGATAGCCTGATGAAAAGATTCAAGGTACACATACAGGTACCTAGATTTAGCTGAACAAGATAAGACAGGGCTGAGGTGGATTGGAGACAGATGATGTTGGGGGTTATATCATGGTAGGTAGCTAATCCATATCAGAATTATTTAGAGCCTAGAGCCACTTAATTAACAAACTACTGTCCTCTAATATGTATGGCATTGTATGAATGAAGATTCAATGATAACGAAGTGGAAAAGGGTCAAGACTACACCTTGTTCAGGATACACACAGGAATTCAGGCTCCCAGTAGACATATGCGCTGAGAACCAAGCACCAAGGTCATCAAGAATCAATTGTCTTGAATTGTCAGAGCAGGAACCTGGTTCTGAGGTACATTTTGACTGAAAAGATGAATGAGGGTGAGGGTGGTAAGAAATATCCTGAGTAGTAGCCAGGCTTCAGGAACCCCTTCAAAGCTTGGGGTATCCTGTATAGGACGGACTCTGTGGTCAGGAAGGGCCCAGTGTCTGGAGGAGTAAGATATGAACTGGAGTTCTCTAACAACAAGGTGATACCAATCCATGCACAGTCTCAGTATTACTCAAAACCCACACTGTTTAACAGAAATATAATGTAAAACAGATCCATAGTTTAACATTTTCTAGTAGCTGCATTTTAGAAAGTAAAAAGAAACAGGAAGTTAATTTTAATAATATGTTTTATTTAGCCAATATATTCAAAATATTGTCATTTCAACATGTGACTCTAGGCACATTTCAAGTGCTCAAAAGCCATGTATGGCTAGTGGCTACCATATTGGACACTGCAACTCTAAACCATGCTAAAGGCAGGAGAACATAGGATTTAATCACTACCTTGTGTTTCCAAGGTCACTGAAGGCTCTGTCACTGTAACATGTTAAATTACAGTTTCTAATGAGAGAGTTTACAGTTTATATGTCTTAAAGAACAGTATTTTACAGTCTAGATTTAATTCTGGCCTCTACCCATAACAACTGTGTGATTTTAAACAAGGTACGTAATCTCTTTGAATCTCAGTTTTCTCACCTGTCAAAAGAAGCAAAATAAATGTGCTCCTAAAAAACTACTTTGAGAATTAAATAACTGGGTCCCTAAGCAGCACTCACCACGTAACTGCTCCTTTAGTTCTCCGTTACTTCAGACGTTACATCATTTATTGCTTTCTCCTGGACGAATTGTTTAGCATCAAGTCTCATCTCTGGTGGCTTTAATTCTTCCCCCACCGCAACGCTGCTATCTCTAACATCCATACTTCTTATCACACTCTGACATCTGAGATGCACAACGCTGACTTTTCCCTTTTCCTCTTTATTCTTCTATAAGCTCAAAGTATTCAGTTGGCCTGCTTCTCTGGTTTGGTGGTAATTTTTTTTTTTTCATGTTCCTTATTTGTTCCCAACACAAGTAATGGCACTCGAATAATAGCCCAGTCCCTGAGCTGTGTTGGGATACAGAACCCAAAGTAGATGAGTTTCTGTCCCTTATGAAATCTGTCTCTAATTACCACCTTGAACCCTACAATCTGTAGAAGCCTCCAATGTACTGATTTCCAGACCCAGAACCTATACAGTCCTTGGACCGAGAGAAGAGGGAGTAGGTCTGTAAGTGGACTGAGAATTGCTATGTGCACTGTGGTGCATAATAAAACTGCATCCTTCATTATTCCTGTTATTTCTTCCACAAAGTACCATCACAGACATATAGCACATGATTATCTACCATGTTAGCCTTTAATGGTTTATGCATGAACAAATTGTTTCTGCAATTAGATAATAAGCAACAGGAAGGCAGGGATCATACTTTTAATGAAGAATAAACCTCCCAGGGTCATTGTATTTACCCCTGTATCTCCCACAGTGCTGTGGACACAGCAGGGGCTCAAGTAATACCTCTATAATTGCCTAATTACACATGAAGGTTTTCTAGCCTGTAGAAACTTGTAGGAACAAAGGAATCTAGGTGCATAGACCAAGTGTCTGTGGTTCTGAGCAAAACCCATCAAATTCTGCAGCACATAGCATTCTCCTGGCCTACCACCACCCCAGCCCTAGAGGCAACCAACTGTCCTATTGCCAGGCCTGCAGGGACACTTCTGTTACAGTTGAGTTGGCACAGGAAGGTCACTGTAACTGCTCACAACCCCTCACAGCCCAATCCCCCTTCCATACACGATTTCCCTGGGAATGCAGGACCAGCCCCAGATTCAGACACAGCTGAATCACCACCAGCCAAGACCCGATTTCCTGCCCTGCCCCAGCCCAGCACGCTTTGTGTGACAGCCATGCCACATCACAAGGGGACAGACCTCCTTTGGGTGTCTTGGAGACTGAAAACTCTCAGTATCCCAAGTGGTGATTCTACAAATACAGAATCTAAATATAACTGGTGTGAGGTGGGGGTGGGGGGTGGGGGGTGGGGGGCTGAGGAACAGAGTACAGGAACTAGGTGAATGGCCTTATCCTTCCTTCTTTCAAAATTCAACCCACCGCACAAGGCACCTGCTCCCCTTAAGAGAGCCCCGGCTGGGGCCCGGTTGGGCTCGGCTAGGCCTGGAGTGCAGGGAGATGCAGAAAGCAGTAGGGTCCCGCACACACATCCCGTGCTTACCACGATCACCACTTTGGGAGTGGGGCCCTTAACCTCCCGCTGTACGATGCCAAATCGCTGGCTGTACATTTTCGAGTCCCTCGGGTTGGGGGCGGCGTCCGCCGCGGTTTCCCCAACAGTGGAGACCTGCGGGACCAGCTTCCGCAATGCAGAGGTCTGGTTGCCATGGTGCACCCTGCAGGGTGAGGGGCAGGTGGGAGGGGCCGAAGTCGGTCCCGTCACCATGGTGACCATAGACGCCAGTGCTCGCAACTTCCTCCCGGAGCCGAGGAGCTGAGTCTGCGCGGTCCTCACCCCGCCCTTGGCCAGGCCTCCGGCGACCGCGCTCCCTTCCTCTAGGGTTCATCAGAACAGCAGAAATAAGCCTCCTTAACCCGAAGTGAAGGCGAAGATCTAATTACATTCCATTGACTTTGCTATTTATATCCTGTAATCAGCTTAAAAGCATGAGAAAAGTTAGTGGATACTCTGTGGGAAGGTTAGATGTTGCGGGCATTTTTAGGTGAATCTTGATGATGGTAATAATCATCCCATGACAACCACCTTATATTTGTGTAGTTCTTTACGGTAATTTGCAAGGTATTTTCACACATAAAACCTTTGGACCTCACAAATGTCTTACAGGGTTTATGGAACAGCAGGTATTATTATCCTCATTTTCCAGCTAAGACAAGGCCTAGAGAGCCTGTCTTGTCAGCCCACCCAAACCAGTAACGATAAATCTGTTACTAGCATCTTCCTACTGCACTGGGCAGAAACCACAGCTGACTCGGGGTACCCTAGGATGGGGGACAGATCAGATGGCCTAAGAGGGCAATGACATGACCTGGCTGGGCAAAATAAAGACCAAGAGTCTGAGGTACGGTTCACAGTAAACCAGGGTGGGGACATGGATGGGAAGCGCAGGTAATGAGGCCCTGAGAATCCGTATCTGAGGGGAACAGGCAACACAGCTCAGGGAACCTAGAAGGAGCCCTAGGCACAGGTGGAGCCCACAGCTGTACTTCAGTCAAGAGCAAGGTGGTAGTAACTAAAAGCCAATTAAGAATGACGCTTTGGTACTCTATTCTAAAGTGGGGGCGAGCACAGAACACTAGAGCATAGAAAAAAATCAGAACCTTGTCAGTCACTGACATCTAACAATAACCGAAGTACAACTATTGTGTATACCGTCGCAAGGCCGCAATTTACTGTAAATTAGCATTCCTTAATCATTTGTAATCCACCCACTTCGGATTTTGTATGCGGTACGTTTCTAGATTTGGATTCCATTTCCTGAATTGCTGGTTCAGCTTTTCAGCCACAAAATAATGTCTCTTTTTTCTCTTTTTAATAATCTCTTTTAATAATTCTCATTTTGTCTTTTTTCTCCTATAATGCTTCTTCTTTCAATTGCAGTTCGGTAAAATACTCATTTTCATTTACTGCTAAGAGTTTACGTAGCCTGAAACAAACAAAAAAGAAAGAAATTAGAGGTCGTCTCGGTTCCCTGGACAGAGTCCTGAGGGTCAGTTCCTTGATCTTGGAGTCCCACGGGCGACTGGCCCGCTGGTTGGTCTGTGTGGAACCACCCCTCACACCACACCCTTGGGAAAGAAGGGAGGCCATGAAAAAGCCCTCAGTCAGGCGCGGGGTTTGGGAAAAGCAGCAGAGATACACGAGAGCCAGTCGGGCACCCCAGAGGTCGTACAGCCCGTAGGATCCCGTCGAAATGAGTTCGGTGACGGGGGAAGCCGACCCTTGGCGACACTTTGCTGCCCTCGAACGTCCCAGCGTCGGTCCAGAGCTCGTCGTGCTGCACCCTTACCCCGGGCGTGCCCCGTAACTTAACTCCAGTTCGGTTTTGCCTGTTTTACCACTACGTGAAGAAGAGTCGGCTTTCCTCCCAGCCCGGCCAAGGATTGGTGTCTCAGCCGGGCGGAGGCCACGCCCCCGAGCCGCCCCGGCCAGGGGTGAGGGGCTGCGTCTCCCGAGAGCGGTGGTGGGCTGACCGCGGCCCCGGCGCCCCCTGGCGGGCCTATTCGGAGGGTGGAGGGGCGGGGCCGGGACCAGCGCCCCGCACGGTGAGCCTCCGCCTTCAGCCAAGCCCCAAGGCCTGGAGAAGCGATTGGCCCAAGGTCCTCGGACAGAACCTGACCCTGATCTTGCCACCCACCAACCCACTTTCTCAGAGTCAACACTGTTACCACCATCAAGACACTCCCCAAAGAAACACTGAATATATGAAACAGTAAACGGGACAATAAAAATCATTTTAAAATAATTTTAAAATAGAACAGCTCAGAGATAGAAACTATTTATATTATTTCCAATTCCTATTGTGCCCCAACAAGGTTCACGCAAGGGCTGTCCTCCCAACAGTTTCCTGAATTCTATATTTTCACCATTAAATTCCATGATAAAGTTGGATATCCATTCACCATTGTAATACATACTGATGTATTTAATAAAATTGCATGGACTATATCTTTTTCATTCCTGTATCCCAGTATCAAGTACAGTGCCTACCATGGGCCAGGTTCTCATTACTTGAATGAATGACACAAAAATAGCCGAGACCAGCCAGTTTTTTTCTGGGTGGGCTTGACAGTATGTCTGCACTTGCTGGGGTCACCATGAAATCCATGGTCTTCAGCTTTGCATTTCCAGCAACGTAGCTTTATCAAGTTATCCTCAGGTGAGCAGTGAGACCCTTGGGAGCTGATTCATGGCAGGGTGGCTTTGTAATGCGTCACCTTGACTAGGCTACGTTTCCCAGAACTCCCTTCCCCGTATGCTTCCGGTTAGGATGGGCCACAAGAGACCTTGTGCATGGTAACTGTAGGACAGAAGTGAAGCAGCAGCATATTGTTTTTACGCTCGGAAGATTGGTGCAGGCGCACCAGGCACTGTTGCAGTTCACACACGTTGTCACTTATCTGCTGGCTCACCTCGTTGGTGTGGGGCAGCAGTCAGGCCTGCAGTCAGGCCTACAGCTGCTCCACTTTCCCTGGGCTCTTCCTTCAGCTTCTCTAATTCCTGGGCAGGATGAGTATTTAACTCTGTGATGAAGGGCACCAGCTTCTTCTACAGGACACCCACATCATCGAAGTTGGAGGTGCTGAGACACCGACATGGGTTCTAGGCCATCCTCGCCGGTTCCAGCTCTTGCTCGTGCGCGCCAAAGTGTCCTCCGTCTCCCACACTTTACATCCATCTTCCCTTCCCGATTGCCTGCCCTGCAGACTTCAAGCTCCAGCATTAGATGCAAAGACAACAGCCTTACAGAGACTGTTTACTCAGCTCCCACTACTGCATAAGCTCAAATCCCTATTAAGTCCCTTAAAATATACATATACATATATATACACACATATATATACATATATATATATATAATCTTTGTATTAGTGGTGCTGCTTTTCTGATTGTACTGTGATACACACTGTAACCAGACTCTTAGGAGTCTGAATGCCAGTCAAATAAATTTCATATAAGACATCACAGAATACTAGGGTTGGGTGGCTGGGTCCTGGGAAGAACAAAACAATACCAGAAAATTACCCAGTCTTGTCTCTGGCTCAAGAAGGTAGAGCAAAGGAAAGAGCAGAGAGGGTAGCAGAAAGGGTTAACAATAGGGAAATGTCTAATCTACATCTGAATTATCTAAAGCTGCAGGGCCTGGACTAGAATAAGGCAGGGGAGATACAAAGGCTACAGAATTTAAGGAGGCATGCACTCAGTCACAGCCCTGTAAAGCTGGCTACATAACGAACCACAGGTCTAAACTTTTTGGCACTTTATGAAGAACTGGGAAGTGAGGCGGGGTTGCGTCAAGACTGGCCCTTATGTAGGACTTGAAGCAGGAACTCGGACCCCTAGTAGAGACGGGCCAAGGGCAGAAACCAAGCACAAAAGTCATCAACGGGCAGGGGAGGCAAGTTGTCAGCAAACCAGGCTGGCAGCTTTACTTCTGAAGACTGCTTTGGCTGAGGAGAATGAGGGCAACAAGCAAAATGGACAGTGACCCCTGGGGAAGGACGTCTGTTAGTGTCTGAGGAATATTATGCAACACCTAAGGCCTCAGAAGAACCCAGTCTCTTGAATGCATGAGTGCTGTGACAAGGTGACCAAATCCACACAGCCTTGGCACTCCCTAAACCACGCTAGAGGCAGCAGCATAAGCGATTTGTTCTGTTTAGGGTAATCCACTTTGTTTTCAAGGTCACTGGAAACTTCTGTTACTATAATATTACACATTATTGGATATAGGATTACAGCTTACAGTTTGGTGGCTTAAAGAACAAGGTTTTTACAACCTGGGGTTTTTTCTAGGCTTACTGGTATTAGCTGTCTGACACTGGACAAGTTATTTAATTTCTTTGAGTCTTGTTTTCCCATATGCAAAAATGGGCAAAAATTATTGTCTTCCTAAAAAGATTGGAGAACTAAATAAATTATATCAGTAGGAGGAACTAACCAAATAGAGTTCCTTTCCTCGTTTATTCACATTACACTTTCCAATGCTGTCTCTCTGAAAAAATGGAAATGTTCAGAAACACCGCCAGGTCTCATCCAGAAGCCATTGAAAGATTATTCATGAAGATGGCTTGTATAGGCTGTTTTGTGGTGGCTTTTACATCCCCTCTCCACCCCAGATCCCCTACCTGTAATATCCACACTTCTTATCACAGTCAAGCTCCCGGGATTTGCACCAGTTGGAGCAGATGCAACAACTTTCTATTCTTTCTCTTCCTTTCCTGCTTACTTCCGCTATAAGCTCAAAGTACTGAATAGGCCTGCTTCTCTGGTTTGGTGGTAGGTTTTTCCAGTTCCTATTGAATCCTACATAAGCCCCTCCGTCTACGGTCCAGCCTCTGAGTAGATCAGTGTTCTCTCATAAAGCCAGTCTTTAAATATCACCTTGAATCCTACAGTCTGCAGAAGCCTCCAGTCTACTGCTTTCTAGCTCCAGGTTTTTTAAGGTCCTTGGACCTAGAGAAGAGGGAGCAGGTCTGTATGTTGAATGAAGTTCGCTCTTTGCAAAATGGAGCATCACAAAACCATTTCCTAGTATTCTGTGCCCACCATCCATTTCCCCATAATTATCCCTTATCTCTCTTCTCACTTTTAAAATATTCCATTACAAACAAGGTAACACATCATTACCTTCTCCATTAACATGTAATGATATCACACATAAGGAAACTGTTTCCTCACTTAGATGATAAGTTCCCTGAAGGCAGGAATCCATGTCTCCTGAAGAATAAGCCTTCCAGGGTCATTGTATTCACCACTGTATCTCTCACACTGCAGAGTACCCAGCAGGTACTCAGTCAATACCTCTGTAATTGCCCAAGGCAGATGAAGGAGTTTCTGGCCTGCAGAAACTAGTTTGTGGGAACAAAGGAATCCAGGTGCCTAGGCCAACAATTTATGTTGCCTGTGTCTGGGGCTGTGTGCACAGCCTGTGAACATTCTGCAGGAGGCAGCATTCCCGTCCTCCTCCCGCCAGCCCTGTCCTTAGGGGCAGCTATCCTTCAACCTATTGCCAGGCCTGCATGGACAGTTCTATGGAGCAGCTAAAACTGTTAATAACCTCAACAGGCTCAGGAAAAGCTCAAGAAACACAGCCCGACCCCATCCACAAAGGATGTTCTAGGAGGTGGAGGACTAGCCTGAGATTGCGCAGTTGCATGTGGACCCAGATCAGAGCCATCTCAGGGCCCAGATCTCCTGCCCACCCACCACTGTCCAGCCCACCTGTCATCTATTCGAGACTCCAGAGGCCTTCAAGACCCCAAATGATGATTCTCTAAATAAGAATTTATATATTAAACCTGACCCCTTCTGGATTTTCTTAGGAAGATGTGGACCAGGCTTTTATAATTTTCTTTCAAATCTCATCACAAGGAATCAAGTCCTCACCCTCCACTGACCCCTGTCCCTCCACTCCCCCCCCCCCCCCCCCCCACATACACCCAAGGAAAGTCCTGACCTAAATCTCAGGAGAAATTTCTAAGGTCCTGCACATAACCCCTCACTGATCATGATCAACGCAGTGATATGAGCCTTTACCTCCCACTGCATCATACCAAATTGCTGACTCTACTTGTAAAACTCAGGGCCCACATCTGACCAGCACCAACCCAATACCACCCCTCACTGTGCGGGGCACACCTTGGCAACCAGACTGCTGTGTCCCGGAGGCGGGTTCCACCCAGGCTGAAAATCTCGGTGATCTGGGGAAGAATTAATATCATGGGTCATCATGGCCAACAGGGCTAAAGCAGGCTCAGGGCAGGGTGAAGCACCCCCCAGCACTGACCACGGGTGTGCCAGCCCCTCCTGCCTCCTCCTCTGGTGCCGAGTCGGAGGCGGAGTCATCCTTGCTCTCTTCCTCCTTGTCCTCCTCAGGGTCCAGTGGCTCTTGTTTCACAGGTGGCAGGCCTGGGTCTACTGCCTGGGAGAGGTGGGAAACAGGCAGCAGTCAGAAGGGCAGGGTTGGCCTGAGGAAAGAGTCTCTTATCAACCAACCTGTCAGTGTGCCGACAAATCCCACTTCCGTCACACTTCAGCCCAGAAAATCCATCTCTCAACCTACAAACCTTTCCCATTCCTCAGAGAATTCCATTTTTCTGTTAGCTGGACAGCAAAGCAGGCAAAGTTAGTTGCCTGGGGAAGGTGGGGCACGTGCCAAACAGGTGGGGTAATTTTATGGTGAGGCTGCAATCAGCACATCTATTGCTCTGCTCAAAGAACCACCATCATTCTGCTCATCACAGACTACCCATCACTGACCCCCACCTTGCTGGGGCAGCCAGACAGCAATACAGGAGAAGTCAGGATGGCTGTGCCCGGTGTCCAGTCTTCCTGGGCATCCGCCTTCTCTTGCTTCACCTGGGGTAAGGCCACAACCCAACTCAGGCCAGGGCACTGGGCCTCCTGTGTGAAGGAGGATTGCGGCAGACTTGGTCCCAGCTTCCTGGCACAAGGCTGGGTAGGGCTGGGAAGGGCAGGATAAGATGGGACCCTCACCTGCAACAGGGCTTCTGTGGAAGCTGCAGCAGGGCCAGGCACCTGCACAGGACTGCTTGCACCTTCCCGTAAGAACACAAGGTCGGTGCCAGGTGGGGGTAGCACAAAGCCACTGCCTGTTTCCTGTTTCATTGGAGTCTGGGCACGGCCTGATCGGGCTGTGGGTGTGGTCAAGGAGGTCTTCAGTATCTGCCCCAGACGGGGCCGTCGAGTAGAGCCAGGTCTCTTTCGACGAGAGTAAGGTGGGGGCGGCCCTGCCCCATCCTCAGATCCTGCCCAGACACTAGGCAGCAGACGCTTCTGAAGAAAGACAGGGTGTTAAGGCCATCTGGTGCAGTGACCAACTCCACCACCCTGTCCTGATCAATGCGCCTGCTAATCCCCATTAGTTCCAGCACAGAACCTACTTACATAGGAGACCCTCATCGTTGAGCCTGCTGGTCTCCAGTTAGCAATGCCAGTGCCACCCAGATTCTTCATTTGCCCCAGCACAATGCTGGCTAATCTTTGGCTGAACCTACTGCCCTGCCCACTCCTCTGAAGATGCACAACCCATCTGGCCTGCCCCACCCACCTACCAGGCCTACCCACCACTGCCAGGCACTGGGGGCCCTGGATCAACTTGTCCCACCTGCCTGACCCTTCCTGCCCCACCCACCATGGCAAACTGCAGGCATTGGCGCCAACGACACTTCTGACGCTTTTGGTTGCTGCCCCCAAATTTGGGCTTGTCACAGCAGAAGTCGCAGTGGCCACAGTCCATCCGGCGTAGGCAGGCTGCACAGGCCCCACACTTGCGGTTCTGCCGACGATTCGTGTAAGGCTGCTGGGGGACAGGCAAAAAGAGCGTTGCTATTACTGGCACTATTCCAATGCTGCTCCTGTTGCTCCTTCACTAACCTCATCAGAGGGCACCAGCTGTGCACTGGGCTTGGTCACACCTCAGCATCTGCTAGTCCAACACCAGGCACTATCATTGTATCGGACAGTGCCTGATACCATCAGGCACTCCAACACCGTATCCGTCACGTCATCTGCTAGACCAGTGGCTACCAAAGTCTTTGACCCCCACCTTCAGCAGAATTTTGCTGACCCTCTATAGTTGCCTCCATTGGGCCTGCTGTATCTGCTCAACCTATGTGAACTCTCCTCACTACGCTGACATTTCCTCTATTAGCCCCACCAGCGCACTGATTCATCTGACGTTAGGTACTGTTGCTGCACTTGTCCATCCCATATTAGTCCCTCCCCCATTGTCTGCTCACCCCCTGCTAGTACCCATTACTCTGTCTTGCTGTTCCCCTATTAGGCCCACTGCAGCAGCTGCTTCTTTGGGCTTAACCAAGTGCCCTGGGAGGGTCTAGGTTTGTCCATGTAGGGTAGGGCCACTCACTAGCTCGTCCTCGTCTACACAGTAATAGATGAACTCGGCAGGTGGCGAGGGGGCCAGGGCTCTGGGGTGCTGCAGAGGCAAATGGGGTGGGGTCAGGGCAGGTACTGGGTAAGGTTAGGGTTGTGCCTTCCCCCTGCCCACCAGGGCCTCACCAGCTCTGGGGACTCTGGAGGCTGTGATGGGAGAACTGGAGGCAGTGGCTGGGCTCGCGGGGGGCGCCGCCGAGCAGCCATCTTGGAGTCACAGCCTCCTCTGCGGCGGCTACGTTTACCCTGGGAGAAAGCCAGAAGGGCAGTTTAGGCTTGGTGGCACCAAGCAGACACAGGACCTACCCCCCAAACCCCCAAGAGGAGTGCAGAAAGCATGCATGGGACAGGCAGGCAGAGTGTGGGGTGCGGCACTCACAGCAGGGGGAGCCACAGCTAGGGGAGGGCGTCGTTGACATCGCTGATGGTGGCGACGGAGACGGTGGGCAAGGTGCTGGCAGACAGGGGCAGGTAGGTGGGACCAGGGAGTTGAGCATGGGGCGAGGGAGAAAAGAAGACATGAGGTGGGCAAGGCTGGGAGGAAGCAGCAGCAGCAGCAGCAACTTTAACAGCAGAATGAGTTCTGCCCCAGCCCTGGCCCCAACAGCGCTGGCCCCTCCAGCATGACTTACCCGTAAGCAGCGCCGCTGGACACACCTCCACTGGCGCCTGAGACCGGGGCGGGGAGGGCGAAGGCAGACTCGACAACGGCCACAGTCCTCTCGGGTCTGACAGCCCCGGCACACTCCACACCCTCGGCTCTATTGGGGGGATTGGAGGGGGCAGAGGCATGATGCATGGGGCCAGTGCTATGAGAGCCAGGGGCCAGGGTGAGCCATGGGCCTACCCCACCTGCCCAACTCACCCTTTCCACAATCCGGAGGCACCGTCTCTGCTCACACTTGCAGAACAGCCCCGAGGCTACATCATGGGGCAACTGCAGAAGGCAGGTGGAGCAGGCCCCGCAGTCCTCGGTTACCCGGCAGGCCGCGCACTCCCCGCAGCCCACACGCTGCCAGGAATGGGTGGGGCGAGGTCACAGGCCCAAACTGAGTTGCTCCAGATGCGCTGCCCCTTACATGTCTGTTATTAGCCCCCACTGCTGTGTCTAGTAGTCCACCACTTGCCTCATCACTGTATCTGACAACTACTGATTAGCTGCCATCAGAGGCTATCCCCAATGTCTACCAGTGCCCCGTTAACCTCATCGCTGAATCTACTGACACCCCATTAACCCATTACTGTCTGTTGACCAAAGCTAGCTCCCTACAAAATGACTCTGACACCCTGTGGATCCATCACCATTCCTTCAGATCCTCCGTAAGCCCCCATCACATCCTGCTCCCACCGCACACTTGTGAGGAGGAGGCAGGTCGTGCTTACCTTAAACATCCTTTGCTCCCGGTTGAAAGCAATTCTCTGTGCTGGAGAGGGAAAAAGAGAAGTGGACAAGAAGCATCAGATATCTAACCTCACCCACTGCTGCTGCCCTGATGTCCACCATTCAACCTCTAGCCCGACAGTGGTGTCCTACCCTGACATCAGACCTGCTCCACTCCTGTCTCCCAGGGCCCTGGGGGCCACTCACCTCGGCAGTCCTTGCATAATGTCTTGAGCCTCTGTCTTCGGGTACCATCTCCTGAGAAGCTGATTCCACAGTTCTCACAGCACCTGGGATGGGAAACATGGGTGTGGGGCTCTGACTGCACCCCAACCACAACCCTTACCCTCTTGGCTCACTTTAGGCCAACACTCACCCAGGAGCAGGGAGTGAAGCTGGGGCTGTGTCGGCATCAGCCTTGGTCTCATCTCTTGGGGCCTCCTTCCTGACCTCACCCTTCTGGGGTCCAACCTGACGTTTCCGAGTCTTGGCTGGCCGTGAAGGCTTCTTCCGCTTCCTGCTAGGGACAGCTAAGGACTGGGGCTGCAGATGAGAGGGAAAGAAGGAAGAGATCAGTGGGTGGGTGTTAGGTGGCTCAGTTACCCCTGCCTGGGTACCCAACACTGTGTAGTACCTTGGGGGCTGGATAACACAGAATGCCTTGTTTGAAGTCGAAGAGGGTGAGGTCGCACGCAGGGCCCAGGTATCGGGTCAGCTCAACTTTGCTTCGGATCCTGTCTCCTGTGGGGCTAGGGATGGGCCAGGATGGGTTGGTACCTGGGTGGAGCCATGGCCACTCCACCCACACAACCCTCCCACTGGGCTGGTGAACAGGCTTGCAGGGCTGGCAGGGGCTACAGGAGGCAGCTTGGGATTGGCGTGTAAGCCCCGACCAGGTCTTACCCCAACTAAGCCTGCATAGCAGAAATACAAAAGGTGTACAAATAGCAATGTATATGCAAATATAAATAACTAACATAAACATAAACACTATATATTTATGACATATACTACTACTTGCAGTCTACGTAAATAAAAATAAATATAGGTAGAAATACCAGTATCTTAAGTAATATATAAATACATTAGTGTTATGTACTAAACATGTAAAAACGCAAAAAAAAAACCCTCTTTAAAAATACACACACGTACCAGCACATAAATATAAATACAAATACGTACATAAACATACAGATGCAACTACATACAAAACAAAGTAGGAATAACTGATATTGAAAGAGAATACTCCACGGGTCTCTAGCATTTCTGCATGTCTTGCAAGAGAGGCACTGATAATCCTTTGTTATGAACTATCTTTTCAAGGATGTTTGTACAGCAAACAGCCTTGGAAGATAAGAGATAAGTTCTCCTTCCAGAGCAGAGGGAAGGCAACCTACTATCCTAACATTATAAAAGACTGGATTCCTTAGGCTCAAGGCTCCTTTCCTACAATCCAATGCATGGGCAGATGCTAGTTAGCCCTCTGCAGGTCACCATATGGGAACTGGTGTTTGGGGAACCGACATGAAAATAATGACATTCTGGATACTGCTGTTACTGTGAGTAATAAACTATCTTTCATTTCTGACCCAGGAGTCTCGTATATCCTACCAGCATCCACAAAATTGTGACATACTTGTTATCTTGCCCTAATTAGGATAAAACCTCTAATCTTGTACGGTTCTTGATAACAGCACTTAAAAGTATAAATTTTGACAGGTTCATACAAGTTGTGATTATGTGGATAAACATACAATTAAGTACAAACACTATCATTTATGATTTTACTATATTTCTCCAGGAAAAGAGCAACTTAGATACAAAGAAAAGTTCAGAAAAAATGCAGTAAATTCAATAACTGTATCACTAATATATCCTAAAACACCTTAGATCCTTAAACGTAAATAGTATATAAACACGTATATTCATGTATTAATAGCTGATTCTCATTCGTGGTATATTGTATAAAGTCACGTTAAACACTGAATTGGTGAACATAGAACCTCTTCTCCTAGGGAAACTACAGGTTAGCTTCCTGCGAGCCTCAGGTGACATTTCTGTCAACTGATCAATGTGTAACCTTGTTTTATGTATGGCCTTTCAATAATTTAAAGCCAGGAGCTTTGGAGTATTGTTATATAGGTACTTTTGACAAGGTCCTTGTAAAATAAGCCAGTCTCATCAGGTTTGAAAACCTATTCTTCTACGTGACACTTTTCCCATGTAACACTTAACAGGTATTTTTAAAATTCCTCTGCAAACTCTTGGTCTGCAGAACTACCTTGTATGCAAATTTAACATTTTTCACGATGTATCACCTTTTGAAACATGTGAGCCAGTCAGCACTAGCTGAAATAGGTTTAACATTTTTCTAACCACGGGTAACACAACCGCCAATGTCCCTGGCTTTCAGCTTCTCACTCTGTCCACTACACTTTGTTTTACTGGTTATTATCTTATGGATCTTTAAGTTTAGCCCTTTTCCCACCTTTTCCTTAGTTTCGTTACATACTATAGATGTTACTTTAGCATTTTCCAGAAATTGGAAGTTGGACAAATTGGAAAATTTCCTTTTCTTTTTCTAGATGTACCACATTTTTGATTCATTAACATTGCACTCACACCTAACAGTACAACTCACACCTGAAATTTATTTAATGTGTATTTTCTCCTTGTAGCACATCACATTTTTCTCCTTACAGCCCATCACAGACTTCTTGCACTTAGAACAACAGACAGCACTTCAGCACTATGCTGCGGGCCATTCTAAACACCAAAATCACCAATAAGAAGTACAAAAATGTGAAAAACATGGCACTAAGTAGACCACGAAAAGGACACTTGATTACAGTAAAAGAACTGAATAAGAAAGCCTCATTCAACCTCAGCTGGGAATGCGTGTATCAGGCAGGCAACTTAAATTTTTTCCTGTTCTGTGCATATCTATGAAAGACCGTGAAAATACAGGGAGTATCGACTTTAATACAAATTTTAGCAAGCAGACAAATTTGCAAATATGGAATCTACAAATAATAAGAATCGAATATATATGCATAATTTTAACCCACACACAAAATTAAACACACCCCCTGATTTCACCCTGCTTAACCAGGCTCAGCCCTACCCATGACTCTGTCCACAACCCACCCAGTACCTCTGGTAATAGGTGTCTGAGCGTCCACAGGTGGCACCTGACTTTCGAAAGACCTCACGGCGCTTCCAGCCAGGGCCCAAGGCTGGGCAGTCCAGCCAGTCCTCAGCCATGGGAGCCAAGGGAAGGAGCAGCGGCCTGCAACACGGAGGGGGCAATGAGGAAAACTGAGGCTCTAGGAGAGGACACGTTGTGCCCCAGCCCCACAAACTGCTAGTATTTATTAGTGCTTGTCCAAGACCTGGTATTTACCATAGGCAACTGACCAATATAAGAGAAATTCCCCTTTCCCATCTCATTCTTCCCTGTCCTAGGCCCAGAAGCTTGTCATTCCTCCCCCTTCCTGACCTAGCAGCCCCATCTTCAACTTAAGAGTCCCGATCCTCAACCCAAAGATCCTCATTCCTTACTCAATGTCCTGATTCCCAATTCTTCCCTGTCCTGGGCCTGAGAGCCCATCACTTCTCCCCTCTGCCAACCTAGGAACCTCTCATTCCTCCCAGGAGACACTCTGTCTTTAACCTACTGGTCCCCACTCCTCCCCTTTGTCACCCTGAAACCTCCATACTCCCCATCCTCAGCCTGAGAGGTCCTAGTCCTCCCAACATCTGCCCCCTTCTGCTCATCCTCAGACCAAGGTCCCAGTACTCTACCTCAGTGTTCTGACCTCCCATTCACTCTCTTCATTGACCCAGGAGTCCCCAATTTCTCTTTCAGTCTTTTAGCCCTCCCATTCCTTCCCTTTCTGATGTCCTCTCATCACGCTACCTCAGGGCTATTGCCTCAATTTCCTCTGCGTCCTCTGCCAGAGAGCCCCCAGCTTCTCCATCTCTTTACCCTAAATAGCCCCTCACTCCTTCTGTTCCTCAGCCTGAAAGCCTCCTCCTCCCTTATTTTCCCTGTCAGTGTTCTGAGCCACAAGACCTCACCAATCTCAGTCCCTCAACCTTATTCCTCTCGTCTTCAGGTACAAAGTTTCTTCATTCCTTCCCTTCAGTGTCCCTTATTCTCCATTCCTCTCATCACCCTGAGATACCCTGACTTCTCCCCTCAGCATGCTGAACCCACCCCTCAATCCTCCCCGTTTTTGTCCCAAGATCAAGCCATCCCTAACTTAGCATTCGGAACCCCTATTTCTTCTCGTTCTCCATGAGTCCCAGTCGCTCCTTTTCAGCATCCCAATGCCCCCATTTCTTCTCGTCATCAACCTGAGAACCCCTCATTTCTCCCTCTCAGCATTCTGAACCCCCATTTCTCTCCGTAACCTGAGAGGCACCGAGGTCTCCCCTCGGTGGGATGGGGTTCGGATCCTTCCCCATCCCTCTCCGTCCTCGTCCAGACTCCCGACACGTCCACCTGTCAGCGCTCTGAGCCCCATTCCTCCCCGTCCTCAGGCAAAACCTTCCCATTCCTCTCCTTCAATATTCCGACGCCGCCATTCCTCCCACTCATCGGCCTGAGGGCCCTTCATTCCTCTCCGTCAGCGTTCTGAGCCTCAATTCTTTCCCAACCTACGCCTGAGCGCTCTCCATTTCCACCCCCACAACTGTCTCACCAGCTCGGCACCGGGCCGGTAGCTTCCGCCGCTCTAGGTCCGCGGACCCATGGCGAGGGTCCCGCCTGTGACTCCCGCCTTGCCCTGCTCTTCTTCCTCCTCCGCAGACGCTTCCTCTGAAGCGGTAGCTGTCGCTGCCGCGGCCGTTCGTTGCTCCCGGAACCGGAAACCCGCTGCCCACTTCTAGGGCCCCGCCCCCGGCAAGACGCCTGCGTGCTAATGCCCCTCCACCGCTTGCCCTTAGTGGGGAGGACCCCCGCACCTGCGTGTTGAGTCCCAGAGCGGCGCGCGCCTCTGGCCCGGGCCCTACTGCGCATGCGCCCTGACGTCCAACGACGGCTCGCACCCCTACCGGAGACCTGCAGCGCCGAAGCCCCTCATTTCGCCAACCGGCGCTCTCTCCCCACTCCGCCTGCCTGGCTTGCGCTAGCGCTCTCCCAGCCTAAGGGGGCGTGGAGGGTTAGTGTTGGCCCTACGGTGCTCCCCCAGCGGTCTCCACCGGCAGTAACCAGGAGGGACGGGCGCCGAAGGCTGAGGTTGTGCCGGAGGCCTCCTCTCCCGCCTCTCGCCTACGTAGCGCCTGTGCCGGCGGTCCCCCGACCATCTCCCCCAGGACTATTGTGTCCCGCTCTCTCCGCCCCGCCGAACAGTTGCCGGAGCGCGCGGGGACTAGTGCGGCCGCACGCTAATCCCGGCTCCTTCCGCGGGAACTGGAGAAGGGGGCGGTGCCGCGCTGCAGGTAAACAGAAGGGCCGTGCAACCGAGCCGGGCCGGCCCATCCTGGAAGGGCTGTGCTGTGGGGATCACTAGACCCGACGACAGGGCGGGATGGGTTCCCAGACTTCTGTTACACACGTGTAACGAAGAGGGGTTTGTGGGAGAACGAGACCGTGTGTCCGTCATCGAATACATTTCTAGTCAGGAGGATGTCAATGCTGACACGGGTGGTAAGGCAGCCACAATACTGAACTAGTGCCGACTGTATACACACTGTTTCAGGATGAAATGTAGGTCATTGGGCTCTCCTTCAGCAAGGCATATCCCACCGCCCAAGAGGCTCCTGCAGAGCGCAGATGGGTGCCAACTGTACACTTAAAGCTGTATACTGCAACTAATTCTGAATACAGGTGTGTGCCACAGCTCATCTACCCAAGGGGTTTGGGAATGCAGTTGCAGCTGGATAAAGTGTGAAAAACATCAGCAGTGATCTTTCTTAATTCTTCAAAATTTTATTAACAAAACCGGGGGGGGGGGGAGGCAAGAGTGAGCAAACTCCACAGTCCCACCCAGGCACAGAGAATGGAGAGACAGAGGGACAGACAAGGACAGGAGAAAATTCTGAGACCCTCTGGTAATGGCAGCTGGGTAGTCAAATGGTGGATGGGCACAGGGAGAAACTCAGGGACCATTGGAGAAACAGATGAATGGCAGAACAGACAAATGGGGGATTCACGGCAGCTCCCCAGCCTGGAATGCAGGGTGTGAGGACTTCCGGGCCAGTGTGAGGCTCAGCGGTCAGCACTGGAGCGCAGGTCGGTAGTGAGTGGGTCGTGTTGGATCGTTTGGTGCAGCATCAGGGCCAGTAATCCTGCCCGGTTAGTCATGGCTGTGCGTACATTGCGCTCCTGCTCAAACAGCTCATCCAGCTTGTACCACTGCCAGGGGAGCAGAAGAGCCATGAGAAGGAGCTCCAGAAGCCCCATCTGACCCCAGCCACATTCAGCATCAAAACCTACCACGCGCACACGCTCCAGGTCCACTTCGGCACGCCGCAACTTCTCCCAGCAGTAATGGCGGTTACACTGGCGTTTGGGCAGGCGGCAGAAGTCACCTGTGAGCTCAAAGACATCACGTACGAGAGGGCACCCACATACCTCATCTGCTGGCACCTGCAAGGAGATTGGGGGTCAGGGATAAATGGGGGTGGAGAGGCAGAAAAGAGGACAGGAATGGGGAATGGTCAGAGAGGTAAGAAGAAAGGAATAGAGAGTTCAGGGTGTAGAGAGGAATGGACATAATGAGACAGAGAAAAGGAAAGGAATGAAGAGTGATAAAGCAGGCAAAGAGAGTTATGGAAACAGTCAAGTAGAAAAGGGAAGGAAGGAGGAAGCAAGGGATGAATGTGGGGCAGTGAAGAAGAAGAAAGGACAGAATGGGGGAGTTGAGGGCAAACCTTACTTTTGGGTCCCGTGAGTGCTCAGGGCACAGCACCTGGAGCCGCTTACAATAGGTCTTGCTCTGAGGATTGTAGACATCACAGAAGAGTCGTGTAGCTCTGGGGGTTTAGAGTAGAGAGAAGGTAGTGGAGGGAGAGAAGGGGGACCCATCTATTCTTGTCCATACCCATATCCTACCCCAACATGCCACTTCCGACCCCAGCCTTAACCTCCCTGCTCTAACTCCACGGAGCACCCACACTCACCCCTCAATGCGTGTGGGGTACATGGACCCAAAGGACGTCTGGCTCTCATACTGGAGGGATGAGCACAAATGGAGGGAACTGTGGATGTGTGCTGCATGCCCTCCCGAGACAACCCCCAGACAACACATCTGTTCCCCCAGGGACCCACTGATCTTCCCCCTCAGGATGACACCCTGACCTTGGCGTAGCAGCGCTCCATGTGGCGCAAGGCAACACGTGGGTTGATAGGGTGCCCGCAGGAGACGCAGAAGATCTGCAGGTCTGTGTCATCACTGTCCCCCTCATTGCTCTGTGTGGAGTGGAAGAAATGATAAAGCCAGGCAGGAGCAGGTACTGGGCCCCGTGCCGCTGGGCCTGTGCTTGCTCACCTCCTCATCCTCACGGACAGCCTGCTGCTTGGCACGAAGAATAATGGCCTCAAGCTCATGGAATCGGCGCTCCATTTCCTGAAGGCGGGTGCGGGCGCTCTGCTGCTCACGGCGAATACGTTCGAGCAGCTTCTTCCCGTGCTCCTCAGCAATGCAGGGACTCTGCTGCCACTGCTGGATGCGCTGGGGGAGGATCTCATAGATGCGGCTGCAGGGAGGCAGTGGGTTGGGTGCAGGCAGGGAAGGTGGCAAACAACAAGATAAGTGGGGTGATCCAAGAATACTAGAATGGATGGCCGACCAAATGGCAAAAGGATAATTAAGTGACTGGTAGATAAATAAGCAGATGAGCACGTGAATGGTGGATGGATGAGGGATGGATAGATGGGTGCTTTGTGGACTGAACAGTGGGCAGGTGACTGATGGGAAGACGTACAGAGGGCTCAGGCCATGCCCTACCCCGTATTCCCTGACTCCCTTGAACCCTCCAAGAATGACTCACTTGGCTGCCAGCTTCATGCCACAGTCATCTGAGCAATACTTGGAGCCAGGCTGGGCAGGGCGCACACAGCCAGGTCCCAGGCACTGCGGTAGTGATGCAGGGTCCTTGGAGTCGGCGCGCTCTGGGTGTTTCCATTTGTCCTTGTGCTTCTGTTTCTGCCGATGCCGCTTGTATCTCTCTTCTTTCTACGGGACAAAGCAGGTCAGGTCAGGTTAGGGTGGAGTTAAAGTCAGCCCTCGATCCCCGTCTCCCCCTGTACGCCACCCTCTTCTGGCTCTTGCCCCATCCAGCTCCTGACCTTTGCCTCTCCCTCCCCGTCCTGCCCTCGGCCTTCCCACACCCATTTCACCCTCTCCATCACCTTCTTCTCAGATTTCTTCTCCCGACGCTTTACATGCTTCACTTTCACTGCCCTCTTCCGCAGCGCAGGGTCCAGGAATGGAGATTCCTCTGTGTCACTCATCCAGGGCTGCAAGTGTGACATACACTGACCCACCTGCCCCACTCATGACTACCCCACCACTAATCAGTTCCCAAATCAGCCTTCCATACTCTGCCTTATCATCCATGTCTCCTGATCATGGAAACTCAGCTTCTGTAACCTCTCCCCTTCCACCATGGGACACTCTGCCTGCTCACCAAGCCATGGTCATCAAAGGCCCCCGCACAGAAGTCCTGGTACAGGTCAGGATCCAGTGGCAGGTCCTCATCCGAGAGTGGCTCAGGTGTGGCCATAGCCTCAGGTGGCTCCTTGACTGCTGATGATGCCACTGCCCCTTCGTCCTCACGGATGCGCCCCAGCTTCTGTGATGGCTGTGGCTGCTGCTGGGTGGGCAGTGGCCTGCGAGGCCGTGGCAGGGACTCTGAGGGCGTCACTGGCGAGAGCTGCGGGGCAGAATCTCAGGACTGGCCCTGACCGCCCTGCCCGCATGCCCCGCCCCGCCCTGGGGGGCTGGACTCACCGAGGAAGGGAAGTACTTGTACGATTCCTGTGCCGGCAGGAGGAAGGCCCAGGTCAGCCCCAGGTGGATGGAGGGTGGCCCTGCCCTAGCCCCTCCCACAAGAGCCTAGCCCCACCAACTAGCCCTGCTTTGCCTCCCCAGACACACCCACTACCCCCACTTCTCAGCACCAGGACATGCTCATCCCCGTCCCACCTGCCCTGACATGCCTGACCGCCTTGAAACATCTGGCTCTACCCTGCCCACCTGGGGTTGGAGGCGCCCCTGCTAGCCCCGTACACCTGATCGTGCCCCATTCATCTGGACAGGCCAGGCTCCTTTCCACCTGTCTGTATGCAATCAGGCCCCACCTCACCTGGCCCACCCCTCCTGGCCTGAATGAGCCCTTCCTGGACATACTGACACCCCCACCTGGCCCTGCCCAGCTCTACCCATGCTCACCCGGGCCCGCAGCTGGCACTGACGCAGCCGGCACTTCTGCCGGATCTTGTTGGGGCCCCCAAACTTCTTCATGTCCCGACAGAAGTCGCAGTGGCCACAGTCCTCAGTGCGCCGGCAGGCCTCGCACTCGCCACACATGCGGGCTGACCGTTTGATCTGCTGCTGCTGCTGGTGATGCTGAAGACAGGGGCCCAGAAGAGAAATCAGGAACACAAGTAGGGCCTGAAATGCGGTCCCCTTACCTATCCCAGCCATGGCAGCCACTCACCTGGCTGGGTGTGGCCACCAAGGGCTGTGGAGAGGATTTGTGGGGCGAAGCAGAGCCCCGAGCAAGCATCGCCCCAACCCCTGTCCCTGACCCCGCCCGACGCTGCAGGTCTGGATCTGGGGCAGGCCTCTTGCGCCCTCCACCCTCATCCCGGGGCTCACTGCCGTCTCGCTCATTGCTGTCCCGCTCCCGTGACT